AACACACAGTACTACTGTAGTACAATTAATTATTTAAAATCGAGCAGTAGTATAGCCGACATATGGGGGGGGGGGGTAAACAATGGGCCTATTGTTTAGGAGAACAATGGAAAGAACAATGGGGTTGACCGCGGGTTGACCTTTAGGAGCCGAGAACAATGGAGCAAGGTCAGGGATGACCGCGGGTTGACCTTTAGGACACATGACCGTGGCGGAGAACAATGAAGCAAGGTCAGGGCTGACCGCGGATTAACCTTGAGGACACATGACCGTGACTGAGAACAATGGAGCAAGGTCAGGGATGACCGCGGGTCGACCTGAAGGGGGGAATCACCATGACCGAGAACAATGGAGGTAAGTCAAGGATGGTTAACCTGGAGGACACATCTTAGACAGCCAGATCAGGACTGAGTGCTGGTGAACTCGGAGGAGACATCACCGCGAGAATAAGGGTGTAAGATCAATGAAGAAAACTAAACTGCGAAATAATATGTGAAAATACTTATTATCCCTCTGAAGAGTTCATTAAAATACTGAAGTAGATATAATGTTATCTTTATCTAATTCAGGAAGAACATCATTATCAGAGAAATGCGGTAGATTCTTGTATACACAAAGAAAACCTTTTGTATTTTAAATCCACCCCTCGCAATTTATCCATGCGCGAAGGCATCTTTGTATCCATCACGATTAAACTTCAAAACATATTAACGGTCAAATGAATACGTTTAAACACATGAAGACATCTCTGTGGCCGTGACGATAATATATCGGAGGAGAAATACTACGGTAAATTGAATGAGATCAGATTCAGGGATTTATCAGAACCTAAATAGGTATCTTTAACAGTATCAGTGAGAGCAAGATGCTGGGTTTTGTTTCATAAAGGTCACTATGTTGTACATTTCCATGACGTACCTTCAAGCACAAATCAAGAGGGGGATACCGAAGATCGTATAAGTTATACTGTATAACCTGCAGATATGAATGGATTGTTTACGATAACTTGTGTATAAAATTACACACGATGTCTAGCAATCAAATTCGTTCTAACCATCGGCATACATTCCACTGCAAAGTTTTTCTTTTTTTAATGAAATCAACACACAGTACTACTGTAGTACGATCAATTATTCTAAAATTGAGCATACTGAAGATAAGATATTAGATGATTGTTTATACGATATTCTGTGTATTTATTAAAAAAAAAAAAAGAAATACACATGATGTCTAGCAATCAAATTAGTTCTAACCATCGGCATACATTCCACTGCAAAGTTTTTCTTTTTTTGAATAAACTTAACACACAGTACTACTGTAGTACACTCAATGATTTAAATTCGAGCATACCGAAGATCAGATATTAGATGATTCTTTATACGATATCTTTTTTATTTATTTTAAAAAAACAAAAAAAGAAATACACACGATGTCTAGCAATCAAATAAGCTCTAACCATCGGCATACATTCCACTACAATGTTTTCTCTTTTTTTTTTTTAATAAACTCAACACACAGTACTACTGTAGTACACTCAATGATTTAAAATCGAGCATACCGAAGATCAGATATTAAATGATTGTTTATACGATATCTTGTGTATTTATTTAAAAAAGAAATACACACGATGTCTAACAATCAAATAAGCGCTAACCATCGGCATAACATTCCACTATAATGTGACTCCCTTTTTGAATGAAATCAACACACAACCAAGAAATAATTTTGTTATCGTTTATTTTTTCACCAAGAACAAAAATTATTCTTGTTTCTGAAAGCAAAGAAAAGAGAAATAAATCACAATGTACCCCAATATTGTTGTATCGGAAAAAACTTTGCTAACTATCATATAAAAAATTAATATTAACTGACTTATAATGAAAATGATAGTAATTAATTTTTTTCTCTAAATCGGTTGGAAAAAAGGAACTGAATTACTGAAAATCCCAAAAACCCATACAACTTACCTTTTCAGAGGATCCTGACTAGGGGGAATGTCACTGTAATTGTGAAATCAGTTTAACATTAATTTTCGACACGAAATTTATTATTACTGGAAAACGAAACTAAAAACGATTCGTTCACTTTCTTCCGTTGAAAATTAGTTTAGATTAAATTAGATTAAAATTAAATTATTTAACATATTGAAAAAAGTTTAAAAATTGAAAAAAAAAATTACTTACTCCTCATCCCACTCCTCTCTGAAAGAAAGAATTTAATCAATAAAAATATTAATATTCCCACAGCATTTATATTGAAAAAGCAGTTAAAGCGCTCATTTGTTTTACAACACTTGTAATGATTTATTTTATTATAAAAATTCGAATACATACGCAAGGCTGAAAGCTTCTATAATAATGGGGTCCCCTATTTCTGCGGATGGACTACAATAAGGAGACTTAATTAATAATAAGAAATATATATGTAATGAATGGCAAAGGATTAAATGTAAAATAAATTGTATCCGAAATATAAAATTTTACTCACTGTGTTAGGGTGATAAGTCTAAAAAGCAAAAGAAACTCGATTAGACTAAACTCGACTAATAAGAATGGTATTTTTTTAATGACAAAGATGAAGAACTTAAAGTATATTTACGTTGGTCTTTTAGGGGCGTTTGGTGGCGCACTATAAAGAAAAAGTGATTGAGATAAAATTAAAAAAGGAAATAAATAGTAAAGAAAAGATTAAAGAATGAGATATATTATAAAATTTAAATTATTTAAAATATTCTTTATTGAAATAAAAGAAATGCATTTTTCTGATTATTTAACTTAAAATCATTTTTCTTCATGATCATAGGTTTATATACGGTAATAATACAGTAAATCTTAATGTAAAAAGAAATGAAAAAGGAATAAATAACGGAATACGCATAAGATTTTAAAAGGTGTTACATCTTCTTTTTGGAAGATATCAAATATCATCAAGTTTATGATTGATATTTTCTTGTTTATTCAGTCTACTAACCCCTCTACGACTTTTTCGCCACCTGTGGCCTCTCTAAAACAGTAGAAAAGGGAAATTTTAGATTTAATTAGGTGCGTCCTATCTTGAAATAACAGTAAATGATGGTAATATTAATGTTACTTACTCTTTGTCTGGAGTGCTGAAACAACAGACGGTTCAATATGAGAATATATAAAAAATGAAATGATAAAGGTCTTCATGATAAATTACAGAAGTTGAAATTGTAGATGGAAATTAAAGACGGTTAATGACAGTATTTCTAGTTATGTTTTAGTAAAATAAAAATGACGATAAATTACTTTCTTGTTTTATTAACGTTAATCTACTAACTTGATTGTCTCCTCTCCTGGTCTAAATGAAAAAAAAAAACCGGAATGACATTTATGAATGAAGTAGTGTGAAAGATTTAAATATCAGGTAAAGATGTTAAACTAATGTTACTTACTCAGTATCCGGGGAGCTGAAACAACACACGTTTCAATATGAGAATAAAAAAAGTAATTATAAAAGCCTTCATATTAAATTACAGAAGTGAGATGTTATAGACGGAATTGACCGGCATTGAATGAAACCATTTCTAGTCTAATTTTTTTTTTACTGGTTTCTTTTACTGACATATCTATGAAAGTGTAAAGTCTTATTTCTTTTTAAAAATATTTGTATAGAAAATTTACTTTCATAAAAGAAATGTAATACCTTGATCTCTTCCCGTATTTAATAGCAAAAGTAATAAGATTAAAAAAAAAGAATTATTTTTATTATCTATCAAAGAAATGACATAATTCGTTAGTAACAAAAAAATGTGAGAAAAGTACTTACGGACACGGGAGGTTTTCTATTTTAGAGATGACCAGGGACAATTCCCTGGTCATTTCGTTTATTTCCTCACAAATACATCTGGTTAAAGAAAAAAGAAACATGAGAAAGTCACTGATAAAGAAATTCAATGCGCCCAAGTACTAGTATTCATCGAATGTGTATAAAAAATATAAATGAACATACTTATCCATATTTTTAGAGATAGGTAAAGTTTGAAGGGTATATTTTCTCTTTTTATTGGGGAAAAAAACACGTGATTTGAGTACCCAATTTGAATAATAATAAATTTGGGATTTTGAAATGTATATAGTGAATCTGACGATGAGAGAAAAAATGTAAAATATGTGTTGGTCATCATTTTTTCTAATCAGAGAGAGACGAGAAAAAAAATCCTTAACCATGAAATTAAAACTGTTCATCTGTAATTGAAACATGTCACAGAAATTATTCCGATGACATTTTTACAATCAGTTCCTAACGATCAATTAGCACATTTCTGCTCAAATTCAGTGACTTTTATTATGATTGCATGCACTGTACATCAATTTTAATCAGTTGATAAGTGAATAAAATCACGAGTGAAAAGAAAGGATGACCACATTGACCAGTATACACCCTTAGATAAAAGTCCACCAGAGTTATATTTTGAACTCGTTCATTATTAAATTAAGGTATCACTAAAAATGGAAAATACAATTGAATTCAGTTTATTTTTCCACATCGTTTTGTTTGCTAGCGCTTGCCAGGAGTGCAATTACGTTGTCGGCGACTATGCGACATGCTCCGGAGAAAATATATGTGTCTATGGGGCGAAATATGTGGAAGTCGAGTGCTGGCTAAAAACCATCCAAACGGACGTGAGCATTGAACAATTATTAATAAGAGGACAATGCGGAAATATAAAAAAATTTGTCATCAGGGGGTGAAAACCATCGAAATGATCACTTCGGGTGACATTCTATCATGTTTAGATAAGTGTGATGAAGTAATTATTTATTGTGTACAAATATGGTTAAAAAATCACATCATTTTACCTCATCCCTGCCACAAATTTCTCACGTTATTACACTGGACTAGGTGTGTGTTTCGTAACTGCAACTGCAGTGAAGGAGGGATGCATCCGTGAGAAAAAACCGGTTTCTCACGCTGAGAGTCGCACATTGTCACAAGATGCCTTGTGAACAGGTCTTCATAAACGGCCTTCCGACTCTGGAGTGTGGTACATCTTTTTTTTCTCCCTTGGATTTCAGTTTCAATGAATTTATACATATTCTGGATAACAATATTTACATGGAATGATGTGTGAGATTTGATGTGATTTATTTACACGAATGTAATTTTTTTCAGACACCGCGACAACCACAACCATGGTTCAAGATCGTAAGTCAATGTCTTAAAAGTGTATCAGATCAGTAGAATCTGTTTTTCTTCCTTAGGGATTGATAAGTTATATAAGTTCTACAGGTCTGATGATGCTTCATGATCGTTGTTGATGATTTTAATATTTATTTTTACGATTAACATCTTGTTGATTTTAGTATTAAAATAAGTATTTCATACTATTTTAACCCATTAGTATATTTTAAATTGTTCCTATTAATATCTACAGATACACGTACGTTCGAGACAACCCAACACACGGACTCCTCTCCGACGACCTCATCCACCGACATCGGTACACAAGGAGACCTATCACTAACACCTCATTTCACATCACTACCCACCGCCGTTACGCACAGACAAGACACGACGAACTTGACCATCCTCTCGTCCATGCCGCACGGAAACTTGACTACCACAGTCCCCTTCCGTAACAATTTTAAGACGGACATGACGAATCCACTCGCGTTCTCCGCTGAGACGCACTGACGGACTATGAACATCTCAACTACCCCCTCCCCCGACACGACCTTTGTAAACACATCCCCCTCCCCCAGTTCACGCAGAGACTATACATTTAATCGTACATTCTCTACCCCCAGCAGTACGTCAACACCGGAAATCACAACCGATTCAGCGAGGGACACAACCCCTAGTGCCAGTTCGGACAAGGGTAGCGAAAACGAACTTTATTATATATTCCTTATTATTCTTATTCCTCTATTAGTGCTAATGTGTGTTTGTGTATTGCGATTAAAACAGAGAAAACGTAACCTTGTAAATACTGAAATTGAAATGGAATGTATAGACGAAGAAGACATAATATTCAACTTACCTACTAATCAATAATAAATAGCATGATTATTAAATAATATATTGTTCAAATTTTATCAAACATATAAAGAGATTTAAGAACTATCTGACACGTGTTTAACAGAATTATAAAGATCCGTGATTTATACTAGTAAACTGTACTAATCTTTTTAGCTCACCTGAGCCGAAGGCTCAAGTGAGCTTTTCTGATCACATTGTGTCCGTCGTCCGTCCGTCTGTCCGTCCGTCTGTCCGTCCGTAAACTTTTCACATTTTCGACTTCTTCTCAAGAACCACTTGGCCAATTTTGACCAAACTTGGTACAAATCATCCTTGGGTGAAGGGGAGTTAAAATCGTTAAAATGAAGGACCAAGTCCCTTTACAAGGGGAGATAATAAAGAAAAGACAAAAATAGGGTGGGTTCATTAAAAAATCTTCTTCTCAAGAACCACTAGACCAGAAAAGCTGAAACTTATGTGGAAGCATTCTGGGGTAGTGTAGATTCTAAATTGTTCAAATCATGACCCCCGGGGGAAGGGCAGGGCCACAATGGGGAATCCAAGTTTTACATAGAAATATATAGGAAAAATCTTTGAAAATCTTCTCAAGAACCACTGGGTCAGAAAAGCTGAAACTTATGTGGAAGCATCCTGGGGTAGTGTAGATTCTAAATTGTTCAAATCATGACTCCCGGGGATTGGGCGGGGCCACAAAGGGGAATCCAAGTTTTACATAGAAATATATAGAAAAAAATCTTTGAAAATCTTCTCAAGAACCATTGAGCCAGAAAAGCTGAAACTTATGTGCACATGGAAGAATCCTGGGGTAGTGTAGATTTTAAAATGTCTAAATTATGATCAGTTGGATAGGGTGGGGATGCATTATGTATTACAAGGGGGAAATCTGGTAAAGAACAGAATGGTCAAATCTTCTCAGGTGAGCGATGTGGCCCATGGGCCTCTTGTTTGTTACTAATATGAATGTTTATTTGAGTAACATATGCTCGACTAATATCCTTGTTTTTCGCATGCGTTGACACCGATGAAAATCTGAAGTAAGTATGTATTATATATTTTCTGATCAAATATGAAATGCAATTAAAGTAGTTCTATACTCGCACTACGTCATTTACAAATAGTAAAACCGGAACCGTGCATCCTTTTTCCGAGATGAGAGTTTTTAACTATATTGGTTTGACTTTTACTTAGCGTTTTAAATATCCGGTAACGATTTTGCTTGAAGTCGGTTGCGTCAACAAACACATATTGTACAGTTTAAGGATAAATTAATTAAAAAGAAAAGACTGGGAACATCTTTCAGTTGACAGAAATAATTAGGTAATAAAACGATATTTCTGTGAATGATGTATGTTTGATATGCTGCGTCGAAAACACGGACCATATACATGCTACATCAGAACATGACTTACATGACTGTATCAAACTATCGAGGCGACTATTGTCGGCGGCCAAGTTGAAGCTAATAGTGATAATTCGGAAGAAAAGTAATGACTACGATTTGACTTAGAAAATTCATGGATTTTACTAATCAAACATTACAAAATTTACTTTAAATAATAATAATTGCATAAAACACACAACCCCTCCCCCCAACCTGCTTACCCACGAACCCCAATGCAAAATTATCTTTTGAATAAGTATTTGACAAAAGTTGATTCACTTGCAGCATACTGTGTTACTTTCTGTAACAAAATCATCCAGTTTCTGAGAATCAGTGAATTACTTTCATTTTCATCGTCTCCAATTTAAAGACAAGTGTGTTTTATTTTTTTTTTCGAGTAAAATAAGATAAATTTTAGGGACAATAGGTTTTGGATGTGTATAATTATTGTTTTAAATAATGTACAAGCTTGTTAATACAAGTATACACTCAAACATTAACAATATTACAGAAATATGTGGCAATACATTACTTCTGGAAGAAAGAAAACAGGGGGGTACCTTTAGTGTAGAGCTCATACCACGAAAAGTAATGCGTCAACATATAATTTTTTAAGCTTATTATTTTTCTTAAATATAATTTAGTAAAAATAATGCAAATTTACGAAGTTTGAGTCCATAATTTTTTTTTAAATGACCGAGATTGTCCTGGAAAGCATATTTTCTCATATTAAATTTTGATACAATATCCTAACAAAGTGCGTCTATTTATAATAATTCGTGCAAAACAATGATATTTTATTGTTTAATAACATGTTTCTACTCTATTTTGGGTATTAAAGTTGAATATTTAGACTTAAATTAATTTATATACAACAAAATCTAGGATAGGTAAAATTTCAGTATTTTACATTTCGGGGTATATACTCCGATAGGCTATAGCGGAAAAGTGAACATGTTGACATATAATTTTTCTTGTGTCTATCCATTGCTGGGATGTATGTCTATCTTATAAAAGCAGATTTTTAAAGATTGAGCCCATTTAGTGCCGAGTATAGAACTACCTTAACTTTATAGTGATTTGTTAAAAATTCATGCTCAGATTGAAAATTAATGTCATATGTTTTTACAAGTAATTAATTTCCAAATTAATAATTACATTTGCTACATCCTACGGACTTGCAGTAACTAGTGTGTGTTTGTTCGTGATCCTCATATTATCATGGATTGCAAGAGTACTCCTCAGGAGGATGGGATTGACTTGTCGGTTGCCCGTCAAGGGAGATGTCCGTGCGAATAGGTAATTTCTTTCTTTCTCTCTCTAAAATTACATTCAAAAACTGCTTACTATCTAATCTCGTACTAAGTAATAAGTAAGAAAAAATTCAGTACGAAAACATATTTATATCATACAGGAAACCAGGCCGAGGTGAGGATATTGAGATGAGAGAGATTGGGGTTGCTGTGGACATAGAGGAGGAGGAAGAGGAACAGGAAACACGTCGGTAATCTCTCCGGGAGCGAAAGGAGTAAGGGTAAGTTCATATTGTGAATATCAGTATACGTAGCATGAACGTATTATAAAGTAATATTGTATGTTTTCATTATTTTGTATATTTGATTTTTAAGATGACGAAAGAAGAACGGAGAAGGAAGTCCAAGGAGGATAGTTGATTAATTAGGGATTGTGGAATTAAGTCCAGATATATGTGGAACAATGAAGAAAGTCCAGGAAGGACAGTATATGTTCATATTAAGAAACTGTGTAAAATGTGTTCTGGATAAGAAACTGGAAAACGATGAAGAAAGTCCAGGAAGGGCAAAATATGTTCATGTTAAAAAACTGTGTAAAATGTGTTCTCGTTAAGAATCTGTAGATCTGTGACTGCAGTCCAGGAAGGACAGTACGTGTACACGTGAAGAAACTGTAAATTGTGTTCTCATTAAGAATCTATAGAACGACGAAGAAAGGACAGTACATGTATGCATTAAGAAAACTGAATTTGCCATTAATAAATTTGTAAACTTTTTATTTCTTTTTATTTACTAAATGTATATACATTTATTTAGTGATAGTTTGTTGGAACTAAATTGGTGATTGATTAATGATTTTTATTTAATCTACAAAAAGTGAACAATATGTGTAATGACAGAAATTATGCCCATGTTTGGAGGTATCATGTGTATTTTTTAATAAAATACACAAGTTGTCTGAACCAATCATCTAATACCCGAACTTTGGTATGAAACGTAAAAAGACAGCGAAAAGAATTTACGCACGAATAGACTACGAGGAGGATTTTAAGATTAAATCTATTTATTTTAGAAAAAGTGTAAAACACAGACTAAGGATGACAAAAAGAATTCCCCACCCTGTTTGAACCTTTTAAATCATTGGTAACAAATAATGTGTGTTCACGCCCATGTTATTTGATTGATGGGTATCGTGTATTTTTTTAACTAAATACACAGGTTTGTCTTAACGCATGGCCAACAAAATGGAGTCCTTGAGGTGAAAGAGGTACCTATATCGGTTCTTTATAGACCCAAGAGGACATGTTCCATATCGTCTTGGTTCAAAGGAGGAACGAAAGCAACTTGAAAACGATAAATTGGAGTCCCAAAGGAAGAGAAGGGAACAGGTGAGGGATTTATTTGCGCCTTTCCCATTGGAAGAAGAATGGAGAACCAATTCGAGGGATGAGGTGATAGATATCTTCCCTGGAGAAAGTGCCGGTACTACATTGGTCATTAAATGTCTCGTGGGTCACGACAATAAGAAAACTGACTGTGAGATAATGGAAGAAAAGTGTATTATTCAAGACTTTTGAGAGAACTGTATATCAAAATGGACCTTAAAATTGATGTTTATTGATTGTATTGATTATTCACTTTCTATTTATATTTTGCTATGATTAATATTTTGTTATCATCAATTTTTTATTTTTATAAATAAAAATATAATAATTGTCTAAGGGGGGGGATGTGGTAGTTTCTGTCATTTATGAATTATTTACATTACATGATTTATTCAACATAAGGTTTACTTACTTCTTTACGTAATTTCTTTATCTTCGTATTCGATTTGTTTATTGATGAAACCGGAAAAGAGTTATCTTTTATTTTCAAACGTATTTTATTTCGAGACGTTTCATTGGTTACTTCTAAATTTATTATTACATCACATTACGGCTAGCTTTTTAGCTCTTCTGAGCCAAAGGCTCAAAGAGCTAATGCTATGGCCATTTGTGCGGTGTGCGTCGTGCGGTGTGCGTTAACTTTTTAGAATATGGGCCATAACTTAAGAACCCCTTGGCCAATCAGTACCAAATTTGCCACAGGGTATCCTTGGCCCAAGGGCTACCATTTATACTAAAATAAGGGTTGGGACCCTAAAACAAGGGGAGATAATCAGGAAAACAAAACCAAAAGTACTAGTTGCTAAAAAATCTTCTCCAGAACCGCCAGGCAGATTTTCACCAAACTTACATACAAGGATCAGGATATGTTGAAGATTAAAAATTGTTCAAGGCATGACCCTGGGGCAAAGGGCGTGGCCTCAAGGTCACTTTGAAGTTGACCTAAATTTACAATTAATAAAAATGTTTATATTTTGCTTACTATACGGGCTAGGATCATCAAATCTTGTAAGTTGATGCATCTTAGGACTTCACATCATGTTAACTCAAAAGTAGGTCACGGTGACCTACTTTTTAAATTTTGCGGGCATTTGTTTTCAAATTGATTTGAACGCATATTTTGGACACTTTAAGGCCTATGATCATGAAACTTAGTCAGTTGATGCATCTTGGGTCCTTGAACAAAGTCAACCTAAAAGTAGGTCACCGTGACCTACTTTTTGAACTTTATGACTTAACCTTTTTAAAACATTAAATCTCATTATTTCAGGCACTGAAAGGTTTAGAATCATTAAATCTTGTAAGTTGCTGCATCTTGGGACCTTAAAACATATTTAAGAAAAAGTAGGTCACTGTGACCTACTTTTAGAATTTTGCAGGCATATGTTTTCAAATTGTTTAAAAGGCATCTTTTGATTACCTTCAGACCTACAATCATCAAACTTGGTCAGGAGATGCATCTTGGGACTCTGAAAAATGTCGACCAAAAAGTAGGTCACGGTGACCTACTTTCGACATTTTATGGCTATATTTAAGATCTTAGGTATTTATTGGCTTAGAATCATCAAACTTTGTGAGTTGATGCATCTTGGGTTTTCGGAGAGTGACGACCAAAAATTAGGTCACGGTGACCTAATTTTAACATTTTATGGCTATATTTAAGTATCTCTGGTACTTATAGGCTTAGAATCATCAAACTTTGAGAGTTGATGCATCTTGGGTTTTTGGAGAGTGACGACCAAAAATTAGGTCACAGTGACCTACTTTTGACATTTTATGTCTATATTTAAGTATCTTTGGTATTTATTGGCTTAGAATCATCAAACTGTGTGAGTTGATGCATCTTGGGTTTTCGGAGAGTGACAACCATAAATTAGGTCACGGTGACCTACTTTTGAAATTTTATGGCTATATTTAAGTATCTCTGGTACTTATTGGCTTAGAATCATCAAACTTTGTCAGTTGATGCATCTCGGGTTTTTGGAGAGTGATGACCAAAAATTAGGTCACAGTGACCTACTTTCGACATTTTATGTCTATATTTAAGTATCTTAGGTATTTATCGGTTTAGAATCATCAAACTTAGTCAGCAGATGCATCTTTGGACTCTGAAAATGTAGACTAAAATGTAGGTCATGGTGACCTGCTTTCAACATTTGATGGCTATATTTAAGTATCTCTGGTACTTATTGGCTTAGAATCATCAAACTTTGTCATTTGATGCATCTTGGGTTTTCTGAGAATGTCGACCAAAAAGTAGGTTACAGTGACCTACTTTCAACTTTTTATGGCTATATTTAAGTATCTTAGGTATTAATGGCTTGGAATAATCAAACTGTGTAAGTTGATGCATTTGGGGTTTTCCAAGAATGTAGACCAAGAAGTAGTCCTTATTGGCTAAGAATCATCAAACTTTGTCAGGTGGTGCAACTTTGGTCTCAGGATACCTAGGGTTAGAGGCTTCAAATACAAGTGATAGGTTGTACAATTTATCAGAAGAGCGTTTCAAGGCCCTTGGGCCTCTTGTACTTTTATTCTATTGTTAAGAACAGTATTTAAACCCTAGCACGGCCGTGCTCTGGGCTTCTACTGAGCCAAGCCTTGCATCAAGGTAAATATCAGAGTTGCCTCAACCTACTTTCGTAACTAAATTTTGATTATTAATTCTTTATTTTTCTCACTTAGTTCTTTATTTGTTTTCATTTAGTTATTTTTCTCGAAAGCCACATTCATTCCCCGGGACTATTTATTAATTTGTTTGGAATTTTCATATACAATTGTTAAACGTTATTAAAGATTTAAAACTTTATTATCTATTTATTATTTAATTACAAGTCTCACTAATGGCGGACTCAAACTTACCTGGAATTTAGAGAAATCAAAAAAGGTTGAAATATTATTGAAAGAAACATCTCTTTAAAAAACACACAACGCGAAGTACAAAACTTTTACAATAGTAGTGGCCGAATGCCCAACTACTACATATGTAATGAATTGAAGTTATGATTTTTTTTCATGATATATACAGTAGATAGTGCATTTGATTTTTAATGTTTCATTTTAAAAAGCTAAATCAGGAAAAGAGGGGGTCATAACGATGAGACACATCTCGGTGTCAGTAAAGAACATGTATTACCGAACAAATTGCGCTGATAAAACCCAGGTCGACCTTGCAGATTTGCAACAGTAAAATGGGTCACTATTTTCTTACATAACAAATTCGGTCAAATGCACGAAGAAGCTCTATGAACCCTACGAAATTTCTCAAAAAGCAACAAATTAAAATGGTCAACTGGAAAGACCAGATGTATTTACAAGTGGTTTTGTTTTTATGTCAAGTTTTCCTCAAAGTTCGTTCATAACTGTAGCGGACTTAATTTAGAAATTGTTCACCACCAATCATTTCGTAATTTTCAGAAAACAATCTCTATATTATCCAAGAAAAAATTAAAACAATAAGGATAATTTTTCTGTCAGTTCTTTACTTCAGAATTTATAACAATTTTTTTTTCTTCTTCATCTGCCAGGTCCTAAAAAAATAAAATAAAAAAGAACCTCGAAAAGTTGTTATGAAATGTGATTAATGTGAATAGCTTCAAATGACAATAAATATCGATAATCACTGCTCACATTTTTTCTCCAACAATTTAAACTTGCATGTATCCACTAAACGTAAACACGTATTTTTAAAATAATAATTAAAAAATATTTTTCCAAAGAAAATCAAGTACACAGATTGTAATTTTCAAAACATGTCAGCTGTATTTGCTTTTAGGAGGAGTTATCTTGAATCCTGACTCATCATAAATTAAATAATTAAACAGGTCCAGCACACTACCCCGATAAAGGTATATAGCTTGATAAAGCTATCTAGCTTTATCAAGGTATTTAAAATATCTTAATCAAGGTATTTTATGTAATGAAAATTCAAAAAAAAAATTTAAAAATTTAAAACTGAAAGTCGATTTCTGAGTTGTTGTCAGTAAATTCATCCATGCATGTAAAGTATTCAAACACAAACAAATCAGTATAAAAATGTTTCGTGTGAGGTGACGTTATTTTTGTCCCCCGCTTTCGCGAAAGCGAGGGCACATTAAATCTCATTCGTCAGTCTGTCAGTCTGTCCGTCACAAAAACTTTAACCTTGCCCATAACTTCTGATTTAGTGGAGCTTTGACTTTCATATTTCACTTGTGTATTCCTTGTGACAAGACCTTTCTTTGGGTACCACCAAATTTGACCTTTTGACCTTGACTTTGGAGTTTGACCCACTTTTACACAAAAATTCCAAACTTTTACTTTGGCCATATCTTTTGAATAGTAGGTTCTAGGACTTTCATATTTTAAATATGTATTGTTTGTGGCAAGACCTTTCATTGGATAACAACAAC